AAAATATTCATTCTTTTTTTTGACCACTTGAAGACAGTTGGTTGGTGTTACAGTCACATGTATCACTCCTTGACTCATCGGTATTTGTTTATTCATTTTGCATTCTTTGATGCTTTATTTCTCTCTATATATCTCTCCCTATACTTGATGAAGGGGGGACAATCTGAAAATAAACGAACATCGAGAAGATACAGGGAAACCTCTAATATTTGGTGCCGTGACCGGCTTTCTTTGTGTGCTTTACTCCAAGAAAGTGAACCATTGTATTCATTCGTTGGTATTATCGTCGCAATTCTCAGATTCAAGGCATAGCACATATCAGCAACCAACAAACAATATGTCACAACGTTTCGATCAATTGGATACTGTTTGTTTTGACTGTATTTACATGCATACGTACAAGATCAATCCGTGTTCGCATACCGTTTGTATCACTTGCTTTAATGCAGCAATTACCAAAAAGATTCGGTTACAGCAAGAAACGTTTATTTGTCCCCGATGTGCTGACTCACACGATCGTCGAAATCTTCTTGAACAACTTACCGAACAGAATCCTTATCATCAAAACCGTAAAGCTGCACCTGTCATATCACGAAAACAACTTTCAACCCTTTCGTTGATTTTACAGTATGATTGTAGAAATATCGCTCCACGAATCGATGAGGCACTTAAAGACATTACTGATTTAAACGAACGAAAAAGAGTCCAAAAAGTTTTATGGAAAAACTGGTTTCTGTTCATTGAACCAGTCGAAACAAAAAAAGTTGACAAATTGCTTCGACGACAACGCAGTCAATATGAATATCATCACTGTCACAAAGGTGCCTACATTAAATCCAAAGAAATTTTTTCCGATACTGAACAGCTACGAGACACTGTTGTAATCACAGCTGAAGCTGAATCGAACTCACTGTGGCCTGACGGAACCGAATCATGGCATATACATGAAATAAAATCGCAACGAGAATTGTTCATCGAACAAGCTCCTCAAGAAAATCTATCAATTCAACAGAAAAATATCGAAGCTGGATCTGATGTATTTTGGCCCGTAGGTACTGAATCGTGGCATATTCACGATATAAAACCACAACGATCAATATTTACCGAGAAATTTAGTTCTGAACACTCTTACGTTCCAAATCCAATTGAACTTGAGAACAAAAGCTCCGATCTCAAGCAATTGCTTGAATACGAACAACGCTTTTTCTGTGATCGACAATCACAATACGCTCTTCTACCTGAAAATCAACACTCACTGCCAGAACCGGCATTCAAACCGAATCGTTGCTGTGAATCGAAATTTCAAATTCAAGAACAGATTCTATTGTTTTCACCTCTTCATAAGCCATGCACACGATCTAATTATTGCGTTCGTGGTCGATCAACAAATTTCAATTTTTTACAATCACTTCTATCAAATAATCTGTCGAGTCCGACGAAAAAGCGGCCGAGCCTATTTTCAAATAGAAAATCGAGTTCTCACAGTAATAAAATACGTTTCACTGTATTAACACAATTTCTGCAACTTACGATCGAATATTTCGTTTATCTTGTAATTTTTTTATTATCGATACTCATCCAGACGGGATTCCTATATACTTCGACGAATAACACCTCGACTTGTATTACCAGCGGTACTTTTGCTTCTGGATTAATATTTGCAAGTAGTACAATATTAGCTACTGGTTCTAAACATCATTTCAAAACTTCAATCACATTCATTAAAACCATTGCATTACTTCGTAATCTGGAGTCGCTTTTACTATATGATATTACGTAACACAATGATGCTATTTGAAACTAATTTTTTCTGACTTTTTCCATTCGATATCAAATTGACAATTATTTCTATGACTACATCGAAGAAAACTCGCAAGATTACAGATGAAAACATTTTCATTTCTTTTTTCTCCAGTCGTGTCAATTGTACATCTTTCACAATCGAAGACTATTTAAAAATTTATATCAACAATCGTGAATTTTAACGCAAATTCTCTTCGTCGAATCGTTTTTTTTTTCGCTCCTCAAATGGAACTCGTTGTGCAAATGGTGCCTAAACATTGTTCTCAATATCGTTTCGTAGATTGCAAAACGAGCTCGTAAAGCTGAGTCGTCATACACATCGTATTCGCCCTTACTTGTTTTTTTTATTTCTTTTCGCTTTTCATAATGCTATTATACTGTCGTTTCTTCTCTTTCTTTTATTCTTTTTCTCCTCGTATCGGCATTCGTACAACTGTTTTTCTCTCTTTTTTCTTTTTCTCTACTCATCATCTTATCCGTTTGTTTCAATTTCGCTGATGTTCGTTTTAATATGCGTGGACGCACATTTCTGTTGGTGGGGAGGTATGTTACAGTCACATGTATCACTCCTTGACTCATCGGTATTTGTTTATTCATTTTGCATTCTTTGATGCTTTATTTCTCTCTATATATCTCTCCCTATACTTGATGAAGGGGGGACAATCTGAAAATAAACGAACATCGAGAAGATACAGGGAAACCTCTAATAGTTGGATTCAGAAATATTTAATTATAAGATTGTAATATCTCATTTTGTGCCGAATTTCATATTCTACATTAATGTTGAGTTGAATTTGTTCCAAGGCACAATTTGTATAAACTAAGGACCATGCCAGGATCGCTATTTTGCTTTGTACAGACACAGTTCTGAACTTTTTCATGCAATTTACTGATAGTTGTTGAATCTTCGCGTAACGAAAAATAAATGATTTCGGTGATAACAAGTGGAGAGGCACATATGCCTTTAGTCTTATAGGCTTGCTGTTTTTTTGGCTGTGCACTACATCCACATGTAACTATTTTACATAGAACACGAGTTTATATACTAGAGAGAGAATAAGAAAGAAGTTATAATCAGAACAAGAGTCCTTTCACTACTAAGTTGACATTACCTAAGAGTGATATTGCAGAAGGATAATAAGTTACAACAGTAACATCTTACAAGGATGATACCATACTATGTTATCAGTGCAATATGCCAACCGGCACAATTATATATTAGAGAGATAATAAGGAAGACGACACGATACAATAATTTACAAGATAGAAGGAAATACAGAAAACATTAAGAAGTAACAATTACCAGAAAGGTCATATCGTATCAACGATATAATTTATAGCCGACATCGACCTTACCAGTAATTAAATAATACACTTGATTTATGTCATCCAAAACAAGGATGTAAGTGTAACGTCATTTGAATGTAATAAGCCACTTGTCATGCTTAACACAAAAGGAAGATTTAACCATAATATTCGATTCTACTTGACTTCTAAAACTAACCAGTTGTCTTTTAGTAATGGAAAATTTATTTTTTATCTTTCAAATAAATATTATTTATTTAATTTTTTTTTTAGAATTAATGAAGGTTCAAGATGAAATCGTAACATTACGTCAAGTACTTGGAGCTAAATTAAAACGTGAAAGTGAACTTAAAACATTATTAGGTGTTGGTTTTGTTGATGATCTTAAACAAGATTGGCAAGAAACTGTTCATGATATTAAATCATCAACAGCATATCAAAAAACAGCTGAAACATTACAAGCTGCTTCAAATAAAATAGCTCCAGCTTTACAAACGGTTAATACAACATTTAAAACACGTCTTGGTTCTCTTAGAAGTAATGATTTTATTTATTATATTCTTATCTTACATCTTTTTATTTTTTCTCTTTCATATTTTCAATTTTAAGATTCAAATTATTTCAAAACATTTGAAAATACACTTGGTTCAACTGTTAGTGCTGTTAAATCAAAAATGACATCATCAAAATCAGCTATGCATTTTAATGGAAACGATACAAATGATATGAGTCATGGTGCAACAGGTGGATCTATTCCTACTAGTGTATCTCATGATGATTATCTTAATTTTAGTGACAATACAAATGAAAAAAAAGATTTAACAAATAAATAAAATAAATAAATAAATAAAACAGCAATATAAAATAAAAATATATCTAAATGTATCTATACATCGATTACAGACAAATTTTAACGATAAAAAAAATTTAAAAAAAAAAGACGTTTTCAATTTATTTATTCTTTTCTTTGTTTGTCTTCTTGGGTTGCAACTAATGTAATTTTGTTCTTCATTTATTTATCAACATACTTAGTTATTCAATCATTTGTCTTGTTTTTCTTTTTTTTCTCGTATATATTATTCTCTATTGATACTGTATCACAGTTTATTACCGTTAAATTTTGTGAAAAAAAAACCGCATATACTATAATCCAAAAGTAACATTTCAATAAAGTCATTTTATTCATCTTATTATATCTTGTTTCTTCGGTATTGTTGTATAATTTCATGTCATTTTCATCGTTTTCTTTTTCTGTTGTTGTTGTTGTTGTTGCCGTTACGTATTTCTATTAAGTTCTTTTCTTCCATCCTGAATAAAAAGAAACAAAAAAAAAATAAAATAAAACAATTCCAAACATAACTTAATATTGATATATGTGAATTATTTAAATGATTATTCTAGATATGGGAGGCTGGAAATTAGAAGTTTTTCGTATGTATAGAGCAAAAAAAAAAAGAAAAACAATATTCGAAGACTAAATATTTTTATTATATCAAGGTATGGCATGTTACGTAACTTTTCCACTTGCGGCTATGTTTTTATTCAGTCGTCCTGAATTATTTAAAGAACGAGTTATTGAAGCTCGAAAACGGTATCATCCACCACCAAATCCTGAACGTGTAAATTTTATTAATTAAAATTTTATATCAATATTGAAAAATATTTATTTAAATATTAGGATGAATTAGTTCAAATATTAAAAGATCGAGCACAACTTCGTCGAGAAGCTGAAGTTCTTGAACAAATGAGTCATTTTCAAACTAAACAAAAAGATTCAAATACAACTTGAATGTTCTCAATTTTTTTTTGATTTTGATTAGTTATAAAATTATTGTTCACGTAGAAAACATATATTGTAGATTTAATATAAATTTCTTTTGAAAATATAATGTATGGATCCTGCAACAACAGCCGTTATTAATTATTTAGGTATATAAGATGTTCTTTTACAATACATATTAAATAAATAGTTAATTTATTAATTAGAACAACGAACTGAAATTGATCGAGTTCATGTAAAAGATAGAGGTACATGTTCATCAGATGCTTTTCTACGTTGGGAAGAAGTAAGAGAATTCCATAGAATAAATACAAAAGTCTAATATGTTTCTTTTTTGTTTTGTATAGAAAAATGAATGTGAATTACCTGATGATCTGAAAAAATTCTATACAATGTCAGATGGACTTGAAATACGATGGTCAATTAAAACAGGAAGTAATAATGAATATATATATATGTAGCAGAAAAAACAAAAAAAAACTTTATTTCGTTGATTTTTTTTTTGCTTTCTGTAGATGTTATACCAACATTTATTGGTAAAATGTATATAAATTCATTAAATGATTTAACAAGAATAATATCATCAGGATCCAAACAAACGACAGTTGATGAATTGAATGATTTTATTGAGAATGGTATATCGGTTTTTTAATATTAAATCATATTATAGATTTGAAATAAATTATAGATACACCTCGATTTAATTCTTGTGCATGGTATATATATGAACTTGATCCTTGCGATGGATATGGCCGTGTTTGTCTTGTCTACAGTCCAGTATGTATTAATAATAAGAAAAAATAATTCGTTGAATTTTGAATAGTATCGTACAATCTAGAGTATTTATGAAGAGTACGAAATTGGTACATATTGAAGAAATTCATATCAAGGTTTCGAGAAGGTTTTAATAAGAATAAGATTCAGATTTCTTCGAAAATTTTGAAAGAGTTATGTAAAAGCCGAAAGGCAGAATCTGTCGGATCTTTTCTTTTAAACTTTCTTCAGTTTTTTCCGATTCTTCTCGGCAAACCACTGTTCTCGGGAAGGGTACGAGTGAGTGTGGATGTAGGTCTTGATGTTGATGATGAGTTAAAACACTCACACCCACATAAAAATTTCGTTAAAATGATCCGAATTCTTATAAGCTTTCTTAGTCTAATAGTAATCTATTGGTAATTCTCCATAAGTTTTAAATAATCTTTTCCCGAGAAATTAAATATATAAAAAAAAAGAAGAAATCATATAGCTGATTTTAGCAAATAGGTAAATAATATGCAGCAGCACATTATGAGTTAAGATCTATGAGATTTCATGAAATATTGATTTTCTAACTTTTAATACAACAATGTCAAAAAGAGAAACTCTTCAGAGAATCTTGTAAATTAAAATTTTGATAAGATAATTATTTAGATATCTTTATATCAAACATCATATAAAAATTCAAGTTACTTTTTTTTGCATACAGCTGAAACACAGAAACACTTATGGCAATGTTGCAAGTAAAATATTTGTTTTTCTAAAATCTGTCTAGTTGAAATCATGATATCACATGGTTTTTTTTTTAACAAATTTTCTATGGTTTATTTCGAAACTTAGCGAACTTACTTTCTAAATCTTATCATATTTAGTAATATAATATTTTGTTTTTAACGTAGAATCGTGATGTGAGTATTTGGTTTATGGATCGTTCATTACATTTTCATCGACTTGCTTCAACATTTACCGATTATTATCGTCTATTTCTTCTTCATTGTGGCTTACCTTATTGGCAATATAAATATACTGATTTTGGTATTCCACCTTACATATTACATTGGTATTATGCAATAGTACCTTCATTATTAATTTCTCATTCAAATGATGATATATCAACATTAAATTTAATTCCATTTAATGCAGAAAAAGTATTTCAACGAAATACAAGTTCTTCATCAAAGTTTGATTTTAATATAAATGTTTAATATTTTCTTTTATTATTAATTTATTTTGTTTTTTTTTTTTTAGAAATTCTAAAGCAGCAGTAAATCAACAAAATTCAACAGGACAAACTCAACAAGGATATCCTATCGCTGGTATTCGTAGTGCTACACAAAATCAAAAACGTCCAATTCAACAAACGAAAAGGTTATTATTTATATTTTTTAATATTCGTTATTTTCTATACTTTTATCTATTTATAGTATCAATCGATCATCATCTGTTCCACGTTCAATGAATAATTCATAAATTATTTTTCGTTTTTTTTTTTTGATATATTCCTTTTTTTTTGCACATTGTTTTGTAATAAATATGTTTTTCACTTCTAGATGGATAAAGTAAAGGAACGAACAGGGATATATCATGAACATCAAGAAGGTGCTCTTTGTGCTCAACATGCATTAAATAATCTTCTACAAACTCCATTATTTTCTGCTGATAATTTAGCTGATATTGCTCGGTAAATAAAATAATCAAAATTTATTTTATAAATCAATTTATTCTTTCTAGTGAACTTGATAAAGAAGAAAATAGTGTATTAACACATACATTATATGAATCTGAGAATATGGATGGTTTGTCGAATTTTCAAAAAATTTTTTGTCGATAAAAAAAAAAGAAATCTTTTTGGTTTTTATAGATACCGGTTTTTTCAATATTCAAGTATTACAATTAGCATTAAAAATGTTCGATCTTGAGTTAATATCTTTTGCAAGTCAAGAAGATATTGCTAAACAAGCACGTAATAATCCGCAAAGTATTCAAGCTTATATTTGTAACTTAGGTCTACATTGGTTTACTATAAGACGATTTGGTAGACAATATTTTAATTTAAACTCCATATATTATATACCAGAATTAATACCTGATCAAAAATTAACTGTACATTTAAATTTCATACAAGAAAATGGCTATTCAGTATTTATTGTATATGGTTCTTTACCAGACTGCTTAGCTGATCAACAGTTAGCAGCTAATCCAATTAGTTTACAAGAATATAGAATTTTAACTAAAGATTTACAAAAAATGATTATTGATGATAAAACTATAGAGGGGTCTCAGACGGTACGCATACCAAAAGACTTATTTGATGAGTATCAAAAAAATCCAAATGATCCACGAATAATGAAAAAGATATTGGAGTACGCACCGAAACATTTGATTGAAGATCGAATTCCACAGCATGTACACTGTTCAAATCCTCAACGTAATCATTCTCATCGTCTTTTATTAATTTCAAATATGCCAACAAATATCAGTGATGAAGAAGTGATAAAAACTTGCAATTGTCCGAGACACCGTCGTGCTCGAGAATTATTAAATAAAAATTCAGAAAAACCTATAATGAACGATCCACCTTTTAGTAATTCAAAGTTACCACGTCAAGAATCTCGTATAATAACGAAATATATAACAGAATACATAGTTGAAGAACCACAACCTGATAATTCAAATAAATCACAACAACAGCGAATAGGAATAACCCGTCAAACGATTATAACAAATCGATTATCACATAGAAATAATACATTAGTTGATGATCATGGAGCTCAGCGAAGGGCCATTACAAATATAGGAATCGGAAACGAAGAAGATGATATACTTCAAGATATGATTCCTGATTATTTACTTGACCCATCCGTAATGAACAGTAATGGCAATAATTCTTATGATGTGGATCGTACAGAAGAGTTGAATCAACGAATTCTTGAAGTAGCTATTGCTGCTAGTTTACAAAGTAATAATTCCACAACCAAACAAATTGAACAAACTCCAGAATCTATGCCAATAACAACTATGAACGCATCACCAACAGCAGCAATCAATGCAGAAAAAATACCAACAGTCAACTCAGAACAAACCCCAACCATAAATTCATCACCAGTATCAGCAACTAATTCAGAGGAAATACAAACTGTAAATTCAGAACAAACACCGACTATCATTTCGTCACCAACACCAACAATTAATTCAACACCAGCATTAGTAATGAATTCTGAACGAATATCAACGATGACTTCATCAGCAGAGCCAACGACTAATTCAGAACGAATAATTACACGATATGTAGTTGAAAAACCGAATCCTGATAATTCAAATAAATCACAAGAACAGCAAATAGGAGTAACTCGTCGAATGGTTATTATAACACAATCATCACAAAGAAATAATCCATTATTCGATGATCACCGTGTTCAGCGAGGGCCCACAACTGGCATTGAGTTTGATAATGAAGAAAATGGTATATGGGAAGATGTGATACCTGATTCCTTACTTGGCTCATCAATAATGAATATGGATGACAATATGCCTTTTGATGCGGGCCGTATAGAAAAGTGGAATCAACAAAATCTCGAAGCAGCTATTGCTGCCAGTTTAAGAACTAATAACTCCACAACACCACAAACTGAAGAAACTTCAGAATTAATTCCGCTGACAACTATGAATTCATTACAACCAAGTTCATCGATGAATTCAGAACAAACACCAACAATAAGTTTAGAACCAATAACAATAAATAACCCGACACCGTCAACAACATCAAATTCATCACCACCCACCAATATTAATTCACCTCTACCAACAGTAACAGATCCCGATGTTATAAAATCATTAAATATTGAAGGCAAGCTATTTGCGACAATATCGTACTACTATAGTCTTTGTAGCAATTGGAGAATTCATTTGTTTTTCGATTTCAAAGGATTTTTTTCCATATTTTAGTAGCACAACAGTATATCTCAATATCTGTATCATAGAAATTTATGTAATGTTAATTGATCATATCATTTTTTTTCCATCGCTTTAGTTTCTAGTCAAATCATATTGTTCGTACTATCCTATGCGTCTTAGGAAACGAACAAGGATAAAACATTATTTGTATCTATAGAGTTATCGACTTATGATACAATTAAATAGAAGTTCCGATGTAGTAGTTTTCAAGAAGCATCGAATTGTGTCTTGTAGAGTTGCGATACAGTATGTGTGCAATAAAAAAAAAAGAAATTAAACAAAACTTTCCAGAAGACTAAGACATTTTAGAATCGATCGTAAAATATAACTAGTGCAATTTTCGACCTTTTGTTAATGTTGATTGAACAATACAAAAGCAACAAAAAATTTGTAGTATTTTTCATAACATGAAATAAATCTCTTACAAAAATAATGAAAACTGTTGAATGAAAGTGTATATATATATATGCAGTTAACTTTATTTCTGATCAATAAATATATTTTCGTATATCCTTGGTTTTATCTCATAATCAAAAATTTCTATCAAATCATATACTCACAATAAAACGTTCAGATATAAAACGAATGTTTATCTAACAATTTCCATTAACATACTAAAAAACAAGATAAACAACAGATTATACCTTTATTTTGTATTGGTTTAACATTTTACTATTTTATTTCAAAAAAAAAAATACAATCTTCATTATCACAAATTGAAAAAAATTGAAATCTAAAACTTTCTAATTATTTCAAGTAGAATTCTATTAATTTTTATTTTTCTATATTTTTAATTTTTTTTTCTTTTCTAACTTGTAGAAATACGTCGACGTCGTCTTGTAACTAATGGTTTTCGAGAAAAATCAATAATAGCTCAACAATCAAATTTTGATGATTAAATCATATCCATAAATGAACATTGTGATAATTTTATATTTATATATATTTTTCTTTTTATATTTATGATCTATAAAAGTCTAGAATAACTTTTATTCTATTATATTTTTTAGATCATGTTATCATCTCGTTCTAAACGTTTATATCATAATCGTATTCGTTCATTAATAAGTCGTCAAGCAACTATTCCTATTGAACAATTATCATTATATTCATGTTTATATCATATTCGTCCTTATTGTTCATCATCAACATCAACAATTATTAATGAAATATGTCTTCGACGTTTACTTAAATCAAATTATTTATGTCAATTTCAAGAATCTAATCAAATATCTGAATATAAATTATTACCAAATAAATCAACATTTATTCTTGGTCATTATATGTTAACATTACAATTAAATAATCTTCGTTTATATATAATAGATAAAAATAATTTAATTTTAATTAATGAAGATATATTTACATTTAAAATTGTTTTTATTGGTATATGTACATATAGTGATTTTCAAAATCGAAATTTTTTAAAACATGATGGTTTTATATTAATGACTGCTGATCAACGTTTATTTTTATATGATTTTAAATTAAAATTACGTATGCCATCAAATGGTATTTGTTTTCAATGTGAAATTCCAGTTAAATTTCTTGAAAAATCATTTGAATATCATGAACATAATCATATGATATCAATACATACACGTTATAAACAACGAACACATCTTTTTATTTTATTAAGAATATGGCCACATTGGCTTAGTTATGTTTTTTTAATTGAACCTCATATATTTGGTAATGATCTTAAACAAGCAGCTATAACACATGAATTACTTATTGTACAAAATCAACGAAATAGGTAAAAGAAGTTTAATTAAAAAAAGAAAAGAATAACTAGTTTATAGTATAATTGACAGTAGATTGCATCTTTCTAAATAAGAATGTCGGTTTACTTTGTTATCTTTAATTAAGCATGGGCTATTCCACTTCGTTTCATTATTTTCTTCTTTTCTAAATGCTTTTAGTAAATGACATGTTTGTTACCATTCAGACTACATTTTGAACACCTGACAAGAAGAAAAACAAGCGTTATTTCCGTCATGTTCTATTAGAAATATAAACAAAAAAGTTTTTATTCCTCCTGAGTTTTGTATGAATATCAAAACCAAGAATAGATTAAATTAAAGTAATGTACCAATTAATATCAAACGTAGTTTATATTGAAATACATGAAATCAAAGAAACAAATATTGTCTTATTGTAAATATCTGAATGTTATAGTTATTCCTTTTTTTTTGATATTATTATGATGCTTTACAGAATTCATTAACACATATACAACCAAGTCTATTGTAAGACACAAAAAAAAGCTGTCACCGAACTTCTTTAATCATAGAATCATTTGTTTCTTATGATTAAAAAATTTATTCAAAATTAATAATTCTATTCATTCATTTTCTTTTTTTCTTTATTTTCTAGTTGTAATTTATATTCACTTCATAATATACTCGATGAATATACAATAAAATCACATTCAATATATGATCATCCTAATGAATTATTACCAATAAATGTTTTAATAACATCTCGTCCAACATGTCTATTTACATTTAATTGTGAACGTCCATTATTTGATTATGCTTTTTGTAGTTCACAACATTTTCTTACACGTATTAATGAAGATTATTTTGTTTTACATATAAATAATAATTTAACACCTATATCAAATGGTCATTTAAAACGATCATGGACTGATAATTTATCTTCACATAGTCAAGTCTATTTTATTGATACTAAAAATAATCATGATTGTATAATTGATATTCGAGAATCTATTGCACATGTTTGGCAATTAATACATGATGAATTAACATCAATTAAACATTTATATACAATTAATGATGGTATAGAAACAATGACAATATCAAATGATCGACATATAACACGTTATGGACGACAAACAAAACCTCAAAATATTTTAGATTATTCATCAACAGTTATTATTGATCATTATTTTGATACATATAATAATTTATTAACATTACTTTTTGAATCTGAAATGTCTGATATGGCTATAATACGTATTATTGAACATCCTATTGGTATTTGTCGTCAAGATATACATTTTAAAAAAAATAATAAACATAATCAATTAAAAATTATGCATGAAAATGATAAATTAATTGTTCAAGAACTTAGTTGTCATACCGTTATACTTCGTTTATTTACATTAGAACGTTCAAAATAAACAAAAAAAAAGAATCTTTTACAATTTAATTATACGGATTGTTGATTAAATTGATTTTTCTTTTTTTTTTTTTTTTGTATTGAATTATTTTTTTTTATTGCAATAAATTCTATGTTAAAAAAAGAAATAGTAAATATTCTTTTTTTGTTTTTCCTCTTTAAAACTTCAATACAATGAGAATGAGAACGACACAGGAAATTTAATTTTTTATATGAGAACATTTGAAGAATAGAAATTTCTTTTATATAAATTTATGATTATAAGAATATTTCAATGTTAAGAAAATTATTCATAAAAAAAAAAAAAATTAGTAATCAAGATTCATTGACGAACTATCATAGATCTAATGATTGTTAAAGAATTATTTGTCATCGTACTCTTTAACATTGTTATTGTTTAATTGAATAAATAAACATCCATATAATTGATTCAATATTTACATTGTTTAATGTCGTACTCAATTTTCTTTAATTCTACAGAATTGAAAATAATATTTTTTTTTCCGAAGAACAACTTCAAAATACAAATAATATCAACAAATTAATTTTATATTAAACAAAAGTTCGATTTTAAACACTTTTTATAGTCCTATAATAGATCTTTTCCATATATCATTATTGTAATCAAAAATTCTTTTTATTTTATTTTTCGTATTTGTGAAAAAAAAAACAAAATTTCCTAAAATCGATTTATATTTTTTATTTAACTAGACATAGTCTTTAATTATAGGTCTGAAATGTGATGATTTCCGGTAACTCTCTAGTTCCTGATCATTCTATGAATGATCAATTATCTTATTAAAATTTCGTGCTCGACGACCTTTTGGTTTTATATAAATGATATATGTATTTGATTTTTTTTCTTTTTTGTTAAATTATCTACTTTAACATGTTTATTTCATTTTTAATCAATCTACATAGGTTAATGTGAATGCATATAAGTGTGTGATCTACTTAAAAGCTGGTTAAAATAGAATGATGAACAGTAAAACACCAAAAAAAAAAGAAGACAAAGATAATAGTCCTTGTTTAAGAAGTCGAAAGAAGTTTTTGTACAAATTCTATAAAAAAAAAAAAAAAGAAATAATTTAATAAAATAATTATTTTCTTACCTTGATAATCAAGTTTACCATCTTTATTTACATCAGCCTAAATAAAAAAAAAAAAGATTAATCATAAATAGAAAACAATTAATATTATTAACGAACTTCTCGCATCATATCCTCTAATTCTTCTTGATTTAATTTTTCACCCATATTAAGCATAACCTTGAAGAAAGAAAAATAATATATTCTAAAATATGAAATTATCTATTCAAAAAATTAACCTGTTTTAATTCACTTATTGTTATATATCCAGAATTATCTCGATCAAAAAGTCGAAAAGCTTCTCGTAATTCAGCTTCTTGATCACGTTCATGCCAATGTTTACTCATAAATGCAATAAATTCTTGAAAATCTAAACGTTGATTACCTAAACAAAAACAAAAAAAAAACATACATATATATTTCAAATTATTTTGAATTACCATTTTTATCTACTTCAGCAATTAGATCTGTAATTTCTTTATTTGTTGGATTTAATCCTAATGATCGCATTACTTGTCTAAAAAAAAAAATAATCAAAATTATTTATCAAATGAAATTCAATCTACAATATTTCATTTTCTATATTAAATAAACATTAATATTTTATAACTAACTAATCATACTGATTAATTTTAAGAATACTATTGATTCAATAAATATATCATAAATTTTAACATTACACGAACACTCTGACTCTTTGTATTCAGAAAAATGCCATAGTAATGAGTTCAATATAGTTAAGAATCTTCTTCAGGCAGAGATATGTAGTCCTTTTCATCTTTTGTAAAAAGCTTATTATAAAATCATATGTATATAGACGTGGATTTTATATAGATTAACTAATTAGGCGTTGCTTTTTTTGAATGTGTTGAGATTGTAAGAAAAAAACAAAAAAAAACTTATTGAACAATTAATTAATTAAATGTAAGTAAACCATATATTTAAATAGATAGATAATTCAATAGTTATATGATAATTACTTTAAAAAAAATATATATATAAATTTAAAAACTTGTTGTTGTTGTTTTTTTATCAAAATACTAACCCTATTTCATTTGCATCAATACTACCATCTCCATTTTTATCGAATAATTCGAAGACATGTCGAAATTCTTGATAAATAAAAATATTTTTTTTTTATTATTATATTCTTTTCTTTTGTTTTTTACCTTCAGTTTTTGTAGTTGAAAATGTACTCTAAAGAAAACTCATTATTACTATGAATCTATTCTAATATTTTAAAATGCTTACCATTGCTCACTAATAAGTTCGATGTAATATAGACAATGAGAAGTTGTAGTATGTAAGATTAGATGATAGAAGAGTCAATTCGTCAAGTCTCTCATTTCTCCATGCAAATATTAGTCTGCATAAAGGAAAGCAAAAAAACAGAGCGAGTATAAGTAAGTAAGTAAGTAAGAAAGAAAGAGAAGACAGAGAAAAGGATGGATTAATTAAGCAAAGCAGATAGGTGGATACAACGAATGATGTTTGGAGTCAGATTACGGTTTGCTATTCTTTCAATCTAATGTTTATAATGGCGTAGACAAGAGAAGCAAAAAAAAAAAAAAAAGAAAAATAGAAATAAGAATGAGAACTTACATTTTTGCAAAATCGGACATGATTTGAAGCTTGCCGTTCGTTTTTTTGTCTCTCTCTCTCTCTGTCTCGTTTTTTTTTTAAATTGACGTTCTGTTATTATTGTTGTTGCATTACATGTTTTATTTTTAACAAATGAAAAACAACATGAATTTTTCTTTTCTTCTTGATAAAATATGTTTCTATGACTTCGTATGACTTTATTTGATATTGCTAATGGCTAATTTATTATTCATCTAATATATTAACTTTAGTTTATTATAAAAGTAGCAAAAAAAAAACAAAAGATTTAAGAAAATAAGCACACACACAAAAAAATAATAAAACAAGTGTATCTTTCGTTTATTAATTAAAAATTTTATTTTATCTAGATTATAGAATAATTAAAAGACAAAAACAAAAAGAAATTATTTTTTTATCATTTATTTATTCGTAGAATGATATAAAGATGTCATAACATTATCAAATTCATTTGTTTTTTCTATTCATTTTTTGCCATTTTTTTTGTCGTTCATGACATTTAATATTTTGACATTGATTATCTCTTCAATATCGAAAAAATATTTTTTTTTTTTTTTTAATATACCAACTGATTTCATTCAAGCATATTCATGATCTGGATCATTGATTCTTTAAAGAGAAAATATAAAATTATTTTTAGTATTTGTAAGCTTTATCAAAGTAAAGGCCGATTTCTACTTGATTTATTCTTTAAACAAAACTTAGTATACATGAATAATCAACAAACATTATCAGGATAAAATTCTACTAAGATATTATATGTTATAGAGTAGAAAAATAATTAGAACTAGATTTTTATAAAAACGTAAAATTCTCTAAGGTGATTAAAAAGAAAAAAGAAGATATTCCTTGTGAAAAATATCGAAGTGTATTTTGAATCATAATCTAGCTTAATTAGGATTTTTCTTTTTTGTTAACAATATTAATTATAAAATATGTAATCTTTTACAATAAAGTTTCAATATGTCATGAACAGAAAAATATAACAATAATTACGACAATTAATTTTTATAATGCGATAAAAACATTTAACGTTGAAGAAAACAAAAAAATAACTTGTGAATTCTTTAATGATAATAGACCATTTCCTATGATTTTAATAATTATATGTTTAAAAAAGTTTATGATATTCTTAGTCAAATAACAAATGTCTCTATTGTAAATTACTTCCGAAATAATTTCTTCTAATTTGATTTAATATGATAGAAAATCGAAGAAGTACTCACTTCATTTAGATAATCTTATAAATATACTGAAAAATCAATTTAATCAAATAATCTAATAGAAATAAAAAAAAAAGACTTATAAATTTCAACATTATATTTCCTTTGGTTAACATACATTAGTATTTTCTTTTTCTTCTCTTCAATGAAATGAATCAATTTTAACAATCTATCCAACTACAACAAAAAAAAGAAAAAACGACTATGCTTGGTTAAAGTGGAACAAACGATTTCTCGAACATAATTCTAAATTGAAAAATATCATTTGATCACCGAAGGCTGAACAACAGTTTGATGATACCGAATCACCGTCTTTTATCTTGAAGGCTGTAAGAACTATATTTTTTGCAGAACGCCTGAAAAAGCCTTCGAGTATGTTACAATAAGCTTTCATCATCATAAGATTTATTGTCTTAATTATAAACACAAAGATCAAGAAAATTTTAGTACAATCAAAAATTTCGTATACACTCTAAGTTTCAACTCTGTCTCATGTTGAATTAGCACAAACGAAAGATGCAAACAAAAAAAAAGAGATGCATGTGTCACTAGAAACAAAACTTTTAAAATCTTTGTTTTTCAATTAGTAAAATCAAAATTAACTTGTTAAATTGAAGCAATATCTTATCTGTGTATTGCTATAATACAATTTGCATTTTAAGCCCCCCCCCCCCCCTTCAGAAAAGTCAATTTTGATCAAATTTATCGATTTTGTGATTTATAACTCATTAGATAGAACTGTGTCTACTCTCGAATGCACTATATTAAGGATATTACATAGGTTTTTCCGAACCCCCATATTGAAAAAATAAGGTTTTTAAACACTTATTTTTCGTTTTTCTCAAAATCAGTTTTTTTGTCATACAGTTTACGCGGGCAGGTTTTTCTTCATAACGATCCGACATGGAAGTGATAATTTTTTTTTTTTATTATATAGGAGACATGTAGGGCTAGGACTTAACAGGCTCCGATTTTTAAATTTCTCTTTTGCTAAAATAAAAAATTTAGATAGTTCATTTCTATTAGCACCTGGAATTTGAATATTTTTCGAAAAACGTTCTTTAAAAATC